CCCTTGTGTGGTTAAGAGTGACCGTGTGGCTGCGATCGACACAAAGTTGCACGTGTTGGACACTGTGGTTCCGTGATGATAGCAACAGGGCTGGGTGTGGGACAGCATGTGTCTAAGAAGGACTGTCATTGGGGGTCTGTCTGACAGTGATTGACAGTGTGGGGTGACAGGCCTTGGCCTGCTGAGTGTATGCTCCCGCTCCCTGGGTCTCCCCAGGGCCTCATACGGGCCCTGGCACACAGGAGGCCCTCGGTCACCATTGGCTGGCTGGCTGGGTGATGGCCAGGGTCTCGCAGACACTGGGGGACACTGCATGTCTGCCTGCGACTGGCTGTGGGCTGGAGTCTGGGTGTGCTGGGCTTGACCGCCAGACCCTGCGTGACACCTGTCTGCTGTCCAGGCCACACTGCCCCCATCTCCAGCTGACTGTGCTCTGTCTCTAGAAGCCCGGGATCCTGGGAGACTCTCCCCTGGGCACCCTCCCGCCTGGGGCCCAGCCTGCCAACCCCCTCCTCGGGGAGCTGTCTGCAGGTAACACAGGCCCTGCCCCTCCCCATCTCTGGGACCCGCCCCACTTCCCTTTCCCAAGCCCCTTTCCTCAATGGGCGTGATAGAGTCCTGGGTGTGTGGCCTTGGGCAAGTGACCTAACCTCTCTGGGTCTCAGTGTCCTCATCTGTCAGATGGGTGCCCCCTCGCAGGCAGCCGTGAGCATCCTGGGAGCACACAGTTGCTGCTCGGCTGCTGGCCCTGGCCCAGGCTGAGGCTTTCGGGCCCCGGGAGGAGGGGTCCTGTGTGGCTGGGCCGCTGACACCTTCTGTCTGTAGGGGGGGGCCTGCCCCCAGAGCTGCCGCCTCGGCGAGGGAAGCCACCACCCCTGCTGCCACCGCTGCTTGGCCCCTCCGGGGGTGACCGGGAAGCCATGGGCCTGGGTCCCCCTGCAGCCCAGCTCACGCCACCCCCTGCCCCTGTGGGGCTCCGAGGCACCGGCCTCCGAGGCCTCCAGAAAGACAGTGGGCCTCTGCCAACACCCCCCGGGGTAAGGCCCTGCCCTGCGCCCAGCACCACGCCAGCCTCCTTCCCTGCGCGGTCCCCCTGCCAGGGGCCCTCGTGAACCCAGCCCTCCCGCCACAGGTCTCGCTCCTGGGGGAGCCCCCCAAGGACTTCCGGATCCCCCTGAATCCCTACCTGAACCTGCACAGCCTGCTCCCGGCCAGCAACCTGGCGGGTAAGGAGGCCCGGGGCTGGGGAGGCGCCGGGAGAAGCCGCCGCCCAGCTGAGGGCCCCCTGCCTAACCCCCCAGCCCCCGGAGGTGGCAGTGGCGGCGGTGGCAGCAAAGCCTTCCAGCTCAAGTCCCGCCTGCTCAGCCCCCTCGCCAGCGCCCGCTTGCCCCCCGACACAGGGCTGCCCGACAGCTATGGCTTCGACTACCCTTCGGTGAGTACCTCGCTGCCCTGTGGCCCGGCTGCTGTCACCCTTTGTCCCCTGGGTGTGAGTCCTTCTCCAGACGGATATTTCTCTAGTACTGACCGAGCCAGGCCAAGCGCTAGGGACGCAGTGGGGAAGATACCGGACATGGCCCCTGCCGCGCAGTCTTGTCTGTTTGTCTGCTCGTCAGACCCTGCTTCCTGTCACTCTGTCTGTCTCTCCCAAGAGGCCTTAGGCCCCACTTCTGCTTCTCCTTAGAGATGGGGCCCAGCCTCCTGTCTGTCTCTCTGTCCTTCTCTGCCCTCTCTGAGTCCTGTCTCTGTGCCCGGGGGGCCGCTCCATGATTCAGCCTCCTCCGGGTCAGATGCTGTGGACTGGACACCGGTGTTATGTTTGGCACACGCTGGGTTTTGAAAAAATAGCAAGTGAAATAAATACCAACACCAACATATAAAACTCCTCGAGTTCACACAACCCAGCTCACCTTGAAAGCTCCGAACACCGGCCCCACTGGGGCCACATGTCTTCTCAGCAGTCACCTTGGGCCAAAGGGTGGTGCGCAAAGGGGGCCGCCCCCTGGGATGGGGCACACATTCTGTCTCATTGCCCCACCCCGCAGGCCTAGTTGGCCCCCATCACTAGAGTTTGCCCCCTACTGGAAGGGACAGACTTCCCTGATGACAGCTGTACTGTGGAATTCTGCCAAGGGTGAGGTTGGTCCAGACCCCAACCCAACACGCTTCTCCCACTTTTATTTAGGACATGGGACCTCGGCGGCTCTTCTCCCACCCACGGGAGCCAGCCCTAGGGCCTCACGGACCCAGCCGACACAAAGTAAGAGCCGCCCTGCCCGTCCCACCTCCTGAGTGTATCAGTTAGCTCTTGCCGAGTAACAAGCGGTCCCACTACTTTGTGCTTAGAACAGCAAACACTTTATTATTTCTCACCATCCTCCGGGGTGGTGGGTGGGCAGTTCTGCAGTCCCCTGGCAGCTCAGCTGGGGCTCAACAGTCCACAATGGCCTTCATCACATATCTGGCGAAGCCTAGGCTGGTGACGGGGCCTTGGCCGGGACGGTTTATCTGCTCCGCATGGAGCTCGTCTCCAGCAGGCCAGCCTGTGCTCATGCACATGGTGATGGTGCCAGGGTTCCCCAGAGGAAGGAGGAGGGCATACACCTCTGCTTGCATCGTCTTTTTCCTGTCCTGTTGACCAAAGCTAGGCTCACGGCAAAGCCCAGAGTTGTTTGGGGGAGTCTACGAAAGGGGGTGGATACTGCAACAGTCTACCTCACTCAACTGGTCCCTCTTTCCAGATGTCCCCCCCGCCCAGTGGCTTTGGCGAACGGAGTGGTGGGGGGCCCCTCTCCCACTTCTATTCCGGCTCACCCACTTCCTACTTCACCAGCGGCCTGCAGGCTGGCCTCAAGCAGAGCCACCTTAACAAGGTGAGGAGCCTCCCGGGCCGAGCACACGTCCCCAGGGACAGCCAGGACGCGGGGCCTCTGTGACCCTCGGTGCGAACACTGGATGGGAGCAGGGATCGGCTTTGCCAGGGCCAGCTGAAATAGGCCAGCCTCCCCGCAGCCATGTGTCCCGTACCTGGTGCTGCCCAGCCTTCCAGGCCTCCTCTCACTTCCTCCCCCAGCAGCCCAGGGTGTGGGTAGTATTAGCCCCAATCAACAGATGGAGAAACTGAGGCCCGGAGATGACATACTCTGCCCCTAGTCTCCCAGCTAGTAAGTGGCAGAGGCAAGATTTGAACCTGAAACCCTCGCCTTGCTCTGGGGGCTGCTGCTTCTCCCATCCCATCTCTCCTGTTTCTCTCAGGCGGTCAGCTCCTCCCCGCTGGGCTCTGGAGAAGGGCTCCTGGGCCTCGGCCCTGGGCCCAACGGCCACAGCCACCTGCTGAAGGTACAGGTGGGGGGCGGGGACACGCAGGGCTGGGGAGTGGTGGCCCCGGGTGGCTCCTGACCCACGACCCCCTCCCCTCTGTCTCCAGACCCCCCTGGGTGGCCAGAAGCGCAGCTTCGCCCACCTGCTGCCCTCGCCCGAGCCCAGCCCCGAGGGCAGCTACGTGGGCCAGCACTCGCAGGGCCTCGGCGGCCACTACGCAGATTCCTACCTAAAGCGCAAGAGGATCTTCTAAGGGGCCAGCGCTGGAGATGCTCGAGGGCCTGCACCGAATCGCTTTGGGGTTTTCTGGTGTTTTGTTTTGTGTTTGTTTTCTTTTTCCTTTCGGTAATAGAAAAATCTCTGAAAGACTTTGCTGACCAACCAGCCGGAGCCCCAGGAGCCCAAGGAGTGTGGGGGCGTCCGGGGGCTGCCGCACCTCCAGCCTGCTCCCGGCGTGGAAACCCCGCAGCCTTAAGAGAGGGGCCCCGGCCTGCTCTCTCCCGTCCCCTGTGTCTGCCTTTGTCCTCTCCTGCCTCGTCGCTCCTGTGTCTTGGTCTTTCGAGTGCCTTGGAGGTTTCTCTGACCTCCCGTGAGGATCAGAGACTGTCCCCTTTTTTAACTTTGACAATTGACTCTTGGTTCCTTTTCTAATTTTTATTATTTTTTAAACAATCCAGGACGACCCCCAGCTCTGATCCCTTCAGGGCCCAGTATGTCTGGGCCTCCATTCCACACCTGTCAGTTTGAAACGGCTCAGCCCTCTTCTCTGTCCCATGGCTGCTGCAGGCATGGCTGTCTCCTGCTCCTGCCTGCCCACTCTGGCCTGTCCTCCAGCTCTGGGTCCCCTGCTTCCCGCCACAGTTCCCTTGCCTTCTGATGCCTTAAAGCCAGGCCCCAGGCCCCGCTGGCCAGAGCCTCTCAGATGCCGAGCTCCGGAAGCTCGACTCAGGACCAAATGGCTCTGGCCTGGGGATTGGGCCCCTCTACCCAGGTCCCCGCCCTGAGGACAGTAGAAGGCCAAAGCCTTGGTCTTGGCGGACCAACCCCACCCTCCCTCCTTCCCAGGCGGAGGAGCAGAGACCGGCTTTCTCCGCCTGCGCAAACCAGTCCCCCTGCTGTCCGTCTGTGGGAGATGGGCATTATGCATCTCCCTGAGCCTCTGCTGTCTCCCCCCATGTTGAAGATGAGCCCCGCCTCTCCGTCCCCAGGCCAGGTCACCTGGAGCTGGCCTCCCTTTGGCCCAGAGCTGGAATCTGACAACCCCATGCAGATCTCTGCGCCTGCCCACCAGCAGGACCTGTCGGCCTGAGATGACCCTGGGCCTTGCCCCTGGCCGGCTGGGCCACCAGCTGCCCTCCCCTGACTCTGGGGGTCCACATCCACTCCAGGGGGGTGTCCTCTCCCCAGTCCTCCCCCACAGACCTTTGCTGAATGAAAGTTTGTAAGTAAATGGTTTTAAAGAAAGCAGAGCTGCCTGGTTCTTGGGACAAACAGTGGGCCTGGGTGGGCGGTCTGAGATGGCCCTGGAGGCCTGGGCGCGCGCGAACCTGCCGGCGCCGTCCCACTCTGGCAGTCCCCGCCTTTCGCACGCCCCACGCAAACGCCGGCGCTTATATTCGGGTAGTTACGGGCCTTTTGCTCACGTGGCCGTCACTGCGCATGCCCAGCGCACGGGTCACGTGATGCCTGTCATGGCCGCCTCCGTAGCGCGGGGCGGGGTGAATGCTGGGTTCCTGCTGCGGGCGGCCAGGGGCGCCTGGTGGAGCAGACCCGGGGGCTTTTGGGGGTTCGGGGAGGCGGCGGCGCCGGTGACAGCCAGGAAATTCCGGGCGACAGGTACCTGGGGTGCCTCTGGGGTGGGAAGACAGCGTTAGCCCGTCGGACGCCGGCCGGGTGCGGCGCGGCGCTTACTCAACTGTGTTTTCCAGGCTCGCGGCCGGCGGGGGAGGAGGAAGCCGGCGGCCCGGAGCGGCCCGGGGACGTGTGAGTGGGGGGGCCAAGTCCCCCATTTCTCGTCCCACGAGGTTCCTCCGGTCCCCACCTTGCCCTGCAGCCTCATCCCTGGGTCCCCCTTCTGCATCGCCCTATTCCCCTGTCGTCAAGCCCCCCAACCCCAACTTCCTAACCCTTGATTCCACCTGGCCCATCATCCCGTTCGGCATCTACACCCACATCTGTCCCCAGGGTGAACGTGGTGTTCGTAGACCGGTCAGGCCAACGGATTCCGGTGAGCGGCAGAGTCGGGGACAATGTTCTCCACCTGGCCCAGCGCCATGGGGTGGACCTGGAAGGTGGGAGCCGGGCACAGGGAATTGGGGAGGCCCTTATTCGCTCGTTAAAAAAACCCACAAATCAGATATGTGTCTCCACTGCTTCACCCTCCCATGGCTTCCCACCAAAGATGGTTAAAAATCCAGGCTCCTCCCCACGCTCTCATCCCCAGCTCTTAACCTTCATTCACGCAGAAGTTATTCATTGAGCGTTTACTAGAGATTACTAGAACTCCTGCTCTCCAGGAGCATGTATTGTCTGTCTGCCTCCCTTCTCCTTCTCTCCCACCTATACTGGCTTACTAGCTGTTCCTCCAAGAGCCAACTTCATTCCTGCCTCAGGGCCTTTGCATTTGCTGCGCCCACCATCAGGAGTGCTTTCTGACCAGATGTTCTGGCTCCTTCTCATCCTTCAGGTCTCAGCGTAGATGTCATCTTCCTGACAATCATTCCCCTCTGCCCAGCCAAAGTCCCCAAGCCCCATTCACTCTGTCACATCAGTGTGTTTTATTGTCTTAATTACTTCTCATTGTTTTGGTTCCTTTTTGTCCTCTCTCCCCAAAATGAGATCAGAAACCCTGTTCGCCTCATTCACACTTATCTGTTGCCTGTCATGGTATTTAGATGTGACAAATAGTGTCAGTATTTGTTGAAGGAAGGATAATAATAGCAGACATTATTTTAAGTGCATTGACACGTTGCCTGATTGACTCTCCATGACAACTTTTTGCAATAGGGGAGATTGTTATCTCATTTTTTAGGTGAGGAAACTGAGCCCCAGGTTAAAGAGACCTGGTCCAAGGTCATGTATGTGGCAAAACTAGATTCACACCCAGCCTATTCACACCCAGAGCACCCCCTAATCTGTGCTGCTCTTTTTTGAACATCGAACACCTACTGTGTGGCAGGCAGCAGTGTACACAAGAGATAAGGCTCCAGTCATTTCACACCAATTTTAACCTAGTAGGGACAATAATCCCACAAATAAACATGTATACTATCATGAGCAACTGGGAAGGACAGTCTGAAAAATATGTACAGGTTCATTTAAGAGGGAGCCTGATTTAATTGTTAGAAGGGGTGGGGATGTCGTGGCACCTCTATCCAAATTCTGTTCTGGAATCCAGTGGCCGGCAGGCCAGGAAACAGATTGGAACATGAGTTTTAGAAGCAAGTGGCCTGTGTTCAAATTTTGCCTCTTAGCAGCTGTGTGACCCTGAGCAAGGGACTTAGCATCTCTGAGCCTCTGTTTCCACATCTGTAAAATGGGAGAATTCAGTTGCTGTCTCGCCGGGTTGCTATGGAGGATTAAACAGGTCTCGTGCGTAGCGCTTAATACCTGGCACGTGGTTAGTGGGCAGTGACTAGTCGGGACAATTATATTAGATGATGTCGCTCTCAGGGGAAGAGGATGCTAGCGAGGTGGGAAACAGGGCTGAGGAAGAGACGCGGGGGACAACTTGGAGTGTCAAGGCCAAGTTTCTCCCCAGAGACAGGGAGGGTGGGCAAATTAGTCACCAAGTGCCGCAGGGAACATCTGCTGGGTTTGGAGGCTGCCTTGCAGCCCCATCCTCCTTGTTGACATGTCTGGAAGAGAAAGGAAGAATCTGTCCCTTATAACACCTGTCTCTTGAGCATTTACAACGTGCGTGGCTCAGCATCTCGGGCAGAGAGAGGGGGGCAGGTTGCCGGGGCACAGGTAAACCCAGAGATTAGATGGTATCTTCAGGCTGTGATAAATACTGTGCAGAAATTCAAAACAGTTACCAAGGTGGGGACAAGGACCAGAAACAGGAGATGGGGGCCTTGGAGGACGGTTGAGTTGAGTCCCCAAGACCAGAAGGATCTACCACGGAAAGAGTGGAGAGAGGAGCATTCCAGGCCAAGGGGACGGCACATGCACAGGGCCTGCGGTGGGGACGGGCCGGGCACGCTGGAGTTGAGCGAGGGGGCCGATGTGGCTGAAGTGGAGTGCGTGGGGGTCGGGGAGGACCTCCAGGACGGAGTGGAGGAGTTTGGACTTGATTCTGGCTGTGAAAACCCTCTGGAAAGGCTTTCGGCCAGGAGGGACGTTATCCCCAAGCGCAGTTCTCGGTGACCAGTCTGGGGGTTGGGAGGGTGTCCTGGGGCAAGCGGAAAACCCCAGCCTCTGCATCTTTCCACTTATTCGCTGACTCCTCCCCCTGCTGCGCTAGGTGCTCAGTGAATCCCTCCCTCCTTCAGGAGGAGCAGGGAGGCGGGAACACAGTTGCCCCGCGCAGTGACAGGGTCGCAGCAAGGGCTCCTACCCTACCCAGAACCTGCCTGGCTTTTCCCCTCTCAGCTACACTCAAGTCAAGTCCATGCTCGTTAATGGTTCCATGTACCCAACCGGCTGGGGCATCTTTGGGAAATGGGATACCCCGGACACCCCTTTGCAAAACCTTGGGAACAGCTGGCTGAGTAAATAACAGGGTGGGGGGGCACACAGGCCTGGGAGGGAGAGCTGAGGGGCGCGTGGTGAAATAAAGGGCTTCTCCCTGACTGTGCCCCTCACTGGCGCCCCTCCCTTGCTGCCCCCAGGGGCCTGCGAAGCTTCCCTGGCGTGCTCCACCTGCCACGTGTACGTGAGCGAGGCCCACCTGGATCTTCTGCCTCCTCCTGATGAGAGGTGAGCGAGGCGGCCCCTCCCGGCTCTGAGCTGGGGGTCTGGCCGCTGAGCCTCTGCATTCCCCGTGTCTGGAGGTCCGCCTGGGCAGCAGCAGAGGGCAGCCCAGCTTTTCTCCCCCAGAGGAATGCTGCCCCTCTGACTGCTCCCCCTGGACTCGCCTGCCCCTCCTTGCCCTTCTGGACCTTCTCACCAGCCGGACCAATATGCCCACCACTAACCACTGCCCTCCTCGCCCCAGGGAGGACGACATGCTCGACATGGCCCCCCTCCTGCAGGAGAACTCGCGGCTCGGCTGCCAGATTGTGCTGACCCCCGAGCTGGAAGGGGCCGAATTCACCTTGCCCAAGATCACCAGAAACTTCTACGTGGACGGTCACGTCCCCAAGCCCCACTGACACGGGCAGCTGGACCTTCCGGGACACCCATGGCGCCAGGGCCAGGACTGGAGGAGTGGCCACGTTGCGAGCCCAGCCCAGAGCACGGACAGGCCGGAGAGCGAGATGTCGGAAGCACCCAGAAGGCCCAAACCTTCAGAGAGATCCTGTGTCCAGGCTCTGGTGGGGACAGGGCCCCTGCTGGGGCAGCCTCCCCCGGACTCCTGAGAATCGGGGTGTGGAGAGGGGTGGAATCGAGTTGGAGTGACAATAAAACTTGATCACAGACTTCCAACCAGCATCTTGAGTGGCTTTGGGGGGGCACACCCTGTATCCTCCAGACCCCCAACTGTCCCCTCCCACAGCACTGATGGGGCCAGCGGGGATGCTGAGGCAGAGGCCTGGGACCCCCTTCCTGGAGGCGGGGGCCTGGGAGCCTGAGGGCCCACGTGGGCCAGCGCGGCGAGGCCCCGCCTCCGCAGGCGCGGAGGGATTTGTGGGGTCCAGGCCGCCCTTGGCCGCCGGGGCTCTGCGGGCCATCTGAGCGGAGCCGGAAGGCAGAGGCACCCCTGAGGCTGCCCCCCGAGGGTAGGGGCTTGGAAGCAAGTGCGCAGCGTCGCCTGCTGGCGGCGCCCGACGCCCCCGGCCCCGCCCCGCCCAGCTGGGGCTCCTCGCACCCTCGGCCAGAGCGCCCCCAGCCGGCGGGTCCCGCCCCACCCAGGTGCGGCTCATCGGGTGGGCCTGGCGGGGGCGGGGCCTGGCGAGATCAGGGAAGGGGCCCCGGGCTGGGGCGCGATGGAGGCCGATCCAGCCCCCGACTTCTCGATGATGCTGAGAGAGCTGCTGGCGCCGCCCTGTCTGGACCCCGAGCCGCCCCCGGAGCCCCCCGCCCGGCAGGCCCCAAGGCCCCCGAGATGCCTCAGACCCAGTGGCAGGTGCGTTCGCAAGCGGCCCCTTCCCTCAATCTGACCCAGCGGTCAGGGGATCTTGACCTCTGGTTCGTGGGGTTATCCTGGGGTCACAGTGTTAGTTACCGGTATTTACAAAGCAGACCTTCTGGTCCTCGGGGACCCTTGAGGTGTCGTAGGGGTCAGAGGCCGTGCGATTTCCCTCACCCCATGTCTCTGAGGCCTATATAGGTGCCGCCCAGGGAATGAGGTGACCACGCTGCCCCTTGTCCCCAGGTCCTTCTGGCCTGCACGCCGGGACTCGATCACCGCCCTGCACTTCCTTCAAGAGACAGCAGAGGGGCTGGCCCAGCCCCCTGCCCAGGACACCCAGGTCCTGGGACCCTGCTGGGAGCTGAAGGCCCTGGGGTCTCTGGGACCCCCGCCTCCGGCCAGCGATGCCAGGAACATGCTGCCCCCCATCAGCCAGCAATGCGGCAGCCTGGGGCCCCCAGGGGCTCCCCTGGCCCCTTCAGCCCCCCCCCAGAGGAGGCCCCGGAAACAGCCGAACCCCCAGCAGGGCGCAGAGAAAGTGGACCCCCGGTTCGAGGGGGTGACCCTGAAGTTTCAGATAAAGCCGGATGCCAGCCTGCACATCACACCCAGCTACAGGTAGGGGCTAGCCAGGGTGAGGACACCTTTACGCCATTGATAACGATAACACTGGGCGCAGAGGCCTGGCCCGGCATCCGCTCAGGGCTTCCCACACCGGCCCTGCGTAACAAACGGCCCAGCCTCTGAGCCAGTCCCAGCCTCAGCCCCTGCTGCTCTGAGCCAGTCACATCCCGGACCGAGCCGGGGCCTCCTCGTTGGGAGAAGGGCCTGTGAGGCCTGCTGCTTCTGTTATTTTTTCCAATAATGATAGTGGCTACATTTGGCAGAAGCAACAACAATAATGAGGTAACAAGTGGCACCTGACGTCAATGGGCTCGTTGAAAGCCTCGTGAAGCCCATTTTACAGATTCGGAAACAGGCCCAGAGGGTGCGCTCTCTTGTCCGGGATCACACAGCGAGGACATGAGAGCGGAACCTGGCAGGCTGGCCCCAGGCTTCCTGCCTCTTCAAATCATCATCGTCATTATTATTATTATTATTTTATTAGTGAGGGGCAACGCCAGGCCTTTGAGTCCTCAGATGCCTCCTTGGGGGATGCCTGATGCCTTGATAGTAAATCTTCATTTGGGGGGCTGTCTGGGATGGGATACAGGTCCCCCAGTGCTAACGCCTTGTCTGCTCCCCAGCCTGGCCTCCGGCCGCCGCTCTCAGGCTCCCCCAGCAGGCCCCGCCAGGGGCCCTGAGGCCACTTCAGGAGGCAGCGAGGCCTTGGGTGAGTCCTGGTGACTTGAGAGCTATAAATATTTGGGGGGGCCAATTCCCTATCCTCCCTGTCTTTTTCCCCATCCTGCTTCCCCCACCCCCTCCACTCGGGCTGAGTCACCCCCTCCCCCGGCTTCCTCCTCTGCGAGCTTTGCCATCTGTCTCCTTTCCTGCCTTTCCCTGTGTCTTAGATCCACCAACACCCGGGGCTGGCCCAGAGCCAGGTGGGGCCTTCGCAGAGCCCCCCACAAAATGCTCCACCCCGCACAGGCCTCCTGAGCCGGGCCTCTGGGACTCTGACCCCTACCCTTTGATCTCTGCCCTTCAGGGCCCCGGCGCTGTGCTTCCTGTAGGACTCAGAGGACCCCACTCTGGAGAGATGCCGAAGATGGGACCCCTCTCTGCAACGCCTGTGGTATCAGGTCCTCAGAACGGAGGAGGGAGTTGGGGTGGGGGCCCCGGATCAGGCCGTGTTTTGCCAGAGTGGGGTATTGGGAAGGAAAAACCCCCTCGCCTTGGGGAAAGTGGTTCCCTCATGGTGGTTCTGGGCCCCCGCTGCATCCTAAATGTTGGTTTCTTGTCCCCCTACTCCAGGTACAAGAAATATGGCACCCGGTGCGCCAGCTGCTGGCTGGTGCCCAGGAAAAATGTCCAGCCCAAGAGGCTATGTGGCAGATGTGGGGTATCCCTGAGCCCCCACCAAGGCCCAGCTCAGGAAGGCTAAGCCCTTCGTCACCCAGCTGAATCTGTCCTGCCTCAGCTTCTCCAGGGGGAGAATGGACAGAAGCCCTTCTAGAAGGAGTGGAGAAAGAGCTTAGGTCTTGCGGGGTCCCCAGCCTGCCTCCTCTCTGCCCCCTCCTCATCAGGGACCCCATGGGGAAGACCCAGGCCTCAGGCCCCAGAGCCCCTGTCTGAGGGTCGCTGGCCCCTCCCTGGCCCCTGCTGCAATCCGGCTGGGCTGAGCCCCCCTCAGGAAATGCTCTCAGCAGCGAAACTCGTGTTGTTAATAGTGATAACAATAAAGAGCAGAACTGTTCAGAGAGAAGGAGCCTTGTGACTCAGGGATGTCGCCGCGTGCGCCCACACTCGCCTGTGCCCCAGCCCGGGAATGTGGGAGAGGGGTTTTCTCCTTGGGGTCCTAAAGGACATGGTCCTGTATCCAGGTGCCAGCCCCCCTGCCCAGGGAATTAGCCACATTCACCACCAGACAGGGAAGCAGCTGCCACACACAGAGACAGACACACACACAAGACAGACAGACACATGTGCACGGACAGACGCACACGCTGACACAAGACTAACAGATACCACACACGTCACGGAAGGACACATGCGTTGACAGATACACATCCCCTATAGATGATGGACACATGTCGATAGACACACACGATACAGACACACATGTCAACACGCACGCAGATGACACATTGGCACACAGTGACACACCCAGCGGGCTGTCATCTCCACCCTTCCCTGCAAATGTCACCTTATGCCTCCTTGTGCACACCGGTCCCTGCTGTGTCCCCTCCCTTCTTTCAAGATCTCTCACCCCCCTAATGGGTGTCCCCAGCCTAAAGCCAAAAGCCACGTGGGAGGGGGGCCCTGGGGAGAGCTCGGCTTGGCCACTGTCACCGAGACACACGGGTGGCCAGTGCTCACTGGGAGGGAGGGTGGGAGTCAAGGATGGGTGGGATGCAGTGAGGGGGGTGGTCCCTCCCGGGGGCGGTGAGCGAGACCCTCTGTCTCTCCTGGGTGAGCCTGTGAGGAAGGCCTGGGCCCAGATCCCTCAGGCCTCGGATCCCTGACTCATTTGGTCCCCCCTTCCTCGGCCCAGAACACCCTCCCCCACGTCTCCCACAGCTGCCACTTACTCATTGCTTGTGGGGGGCTCAGCCCCAACATCACATCTTCAGAGGAACCTTCCCTGAGCACCCAGTCTAACACAGACACCCCACTCTCCCTCCCGGATAGCAGGCTCTAGTTCAGCTCGCTGCTGGTCTCCCTCTTGGAACCTACCAGAAGTTCCACTTCTTTACTGCTCCAGGGTTATTTCATACACATTCATCTCCCCTGCTGGACTATGACTTCAGAAGTCCAAGGCCACCGCCACACCTGTGTCCCTTCCCGTGACAGGCCGCCCCGGTGCCCAGCATGGAGCTCCCTAGGAATACTTATCGAGCACACGCAGGTCCCAGAGTGTGTGTCTGCAAACTCATGGCTGCTTTTATCCACTTATCCACCATTTTATGGTGCAACTACTGTGTACCAGGACCCAATGGGGACACTGCGTGGCGAATAGACCACAGATCCCTGCTCTAGCAGGGCCAATATTCTAGAATGACCGTAAACAAATATTCAATCAAATATCTAATAGGATGTCAAGTCGTGATTGGTGCTACAGGGAAAATAAAGTCTGTGAGGGGATGAGGAGTCCGGGGGACGGTCCAGGCAGAGGGAATGGAAGAGCCGGCAGGACTTTGTGGGGTTCCAGAACCTCGAGGAGGTCTCGGGAGTGGAGGGAGGTGATCGGGGAGGGGGTGGGAGAGCAGGGGCTGCACCCTGCCTGTGCCTTGTTGCCTTCTGTACCTGGCACCCCGCACTGGCTGGGCCTCTAGTGCCCCCTGTTTCCTGCTCTCCTGTTCGCTCATGAAGCGTTTTTGGGGGGCGGCCGATGGAGCCGGAACACACGCCTGCTTCCTTCTGTTAGCGCAGTGTGCCTGTTCCTGAGAGAGGAGGAGCCTGGGAGGTGGGGGGAGCCCAGCTGCTCCCTCCTTCTGCTGTGGGCGGGGGGGAGGGTGGGTGCAGAGGGAGTTGCGGCTGATACCCTGTGCATCTGTTCTGACTCAGGATGCACCAAGTCGAAAGGCAGGTTGGGGGTAAACTGAGGCACGGTGGATGGACACAGGATGGAGGAGGCATCCAGGGCGGGGCAGGGGTGCGCCCTTCGATAGCAGGGCCACGCTGGGGGCTGACACGCAGCTGCAACCCCCGCCTTTCATTTACCCATCCTGGCGACGCCTCAGGGCAGAGGCCCAGACCCCTGGGAAGGGGACTCCACCCATCCTGGGAAGGCAGAACCAGCTCTGCCCAGAACCAGGCCCCGGGGAAGCCCCGGCTCCCACCCGCCCGAGTGTGCAGGATCAGAGGGCAGCGCTGGGCGGAAGAGATAAGCCGCGGGGAGAGGGAGGAAGGCGAGAGGTCCCCACCCGGACTCAGGGGTCTTTAAGAGCAGGAAACCTGACACCAAGAGAACAGGCTTCAGGTCACTCCTGGAAAAGGCGGTGTGGTCTGTGCCTGACCCAGGGTAAGTCCTCAAAACCAAAAATGATGTTTTTTTTGTGAGGAAGATCAGCCCTGAGCTAACATCTGCCAATCCTTTTTTTTTTTTTTTTGCTGAGGAAGACTGGCCCTGGGCTAACATCCGTGCCCATCTTCCTCCACTTTATATGGGAGGCCACCACTGGATGGCTTGACAAGTGGTGCGTGTGTGCGAGCCAGGGATCAGAACCCATGAACCCCGGGCCGCGGCAGCGGAGCGCACGCACTTAACCGTTTGCGCCACCTGGCCGGCGCAAAAACGATGTTTTTTTAATGAATCACCCTCAGGGTCAGGATTCAAACCCCGAAGCAGAGCGACCCGGAGTCCTTTATAAAAATTTTATTAGCAGGGGTGGGTAGAAAATGAGGGAACGCCCCTGGAATTGAATAAATAAATACATGAATAAATAAATAAATAGAACAATACAGAAGCCCCCGCGTGCGTCTGGGGGGCGTCCCCCGGCCGGCGGGGAGAGGGAGCCGGCTCACGCTGACGTCAGCTGGATGGCGAAGACCTCGCCCTCTGCTGGCGCCTCTGCGCAGCCCGCAGCCTCTGCTCCACCTTCGGCGCCCGCGCCCCCGCCCGCGCCGCCGCCCGCGCCGTTGAGACACACGGCCTCGCCCGAGCTCTCGGCCTCCTGCACGTTGTACTCGCCCTTCTTGCAGGCGGTGGAGCGCACGTAGAAGGCCAGGCCGGCCCCCGCGGCCAGCAGCGCCGCGCCCCCCGCCGCGCCGCCCACGGCGACCCACAGCCACGGACCTGCGGGGTGCGGACCCTCAAAGAGGGTGGACCAGCGCCGGGCTCCGCCTACCCGACGAGGTCGCCCCAAGCCTGGGCCACCTCTGTCCCCGCCCCACAGGCACGAGGTCAGTCCTCACGGGAATTCCCAGTCCCGCCTTGGGGGAAAGGAGAGACCCCAGTAAGGCCCCCAGCGTCAGCGCCACCCCAGATCCACTTTACAGGCCACCTCCGCACATGGGGCTATAAGCCCCTAGCCCCAGAGATCCCCAAAAGGATGAGGGTGGAGGGACCGGGTCATTCCTTCACCCCAGAAAGACCCCACCCCCAGAAATACACGAAGTGGGGGGAGAGGATCCAGTTGGGGCCCCCCACTCCCCATCCAATGACCTTGGACCCTCTCCAACCCCCATTCTCCACAGAGACACAGTGGAGAGTGAATTGGATCGAGTCCCCACCACGCAGTACCCACCCCAAGTTAGTCAAGCCCCTTCCCATGGCAGTCACAGCCCCGGAGGGCGCCTCCCCAGGGACCGGGTCGGGAGCCCCAGGGCGCAGGCCACGCCCCCTGTAGCTCCCTCGCCCCGCCCCCTCCAGCTGCCACTCACCTGCCACGCGCACAGTGATGCGCCGCGTGTGGCGCCCGTGCGCGTTGGTGGCTGCGCACTCGTACTCGCCGCCGTGGCTGCCCAGGGCGCCCGCCACGCTCAGCGTGCTGTTGTTGCTCGACAGGCCGAAGTTGAGCGCTCCCGGGGGCGCGCGCCAGCTGATCTGGGCGGGGGGCCAGGCCTCGGCGCGGCAGGTCAACGTGAAGTTCCCGCCTGGCCGCACGCCCCCCGGAGGCGAGGCGGCCAGCTCGGCCACCACCGGCCGGTCTGCAGGGGACAGAAGGATGGAGGGGGCTCAGCGCCCGCCCAGCCGCCGCCCAAGTGGCCCCCTTCCGCCCACCACAATCTGAGAGCACCCCTCCTCGGATGGGCAGGCGAGGACCCTGCCTCGCGTAAGTGCCACATCCCCCTACAGTCCGGCTGTTGTCCCGAGTTTTCATTACCCTCAGATTTAAGCCGGGAGTCCTTGTCCCCGAGAATGGGACTGGGGGAGGTGCCCTTGAATTCCCCAGGGCAATCCCACCGCTGCAAGTCACTATTCTGGGGACCGAGTGCCTCTATCTGGTGGTGTCCCCACTCACATTCCACGCCCACCGTGACAGTCCGGGCGTCCGTGCCATGCGCGTTGGTGGCCAGGCAGCGGTAGGTGCCCGCATCCTCTCGGGACACGCGCAGCCGCTGAGGCCGGGGCGCGCCCTCCCTGGAGCAGCGCACCTGTGGGGAGGGGCGACCCCGGGCGGCGCAGGCCAGCGCCGCAGCGGCAGCCCCTTCCAGCCACGTCTGGTGACTCGGGCAGGTGGACTCATCCATTTGCGGCGGCGCTGCAAAGCCATTATGGGGGGCGTCAGGGAGGGGCCGGACCCGGGGCACCCCTGACTCCCCGCCAGCCTGGGCCCCGCTCACACTCCGCGCTCACGGCGACCGTCTTGACCGTGGAGCCGTGCCGGTTGGTGGCGTTACAGATGTAGATACCGGGTGCGAGGTCACTAGGGATGCTGGGGGCTCTGGGACTAGAGTCTGGGGGTGCTAGCGGCAGCAGCACCCCCTCGCTGCTGCCTCCTGAGCCGACGCACTCCACTCTTGGCTCTGGCTTCCCATCCACCTCACACGAAAATAGCCGCCCAGATCCTTCCACCCACGTCCAGTTGCTGGGGCAGCCCAGCTCCTCAAAACTGGGTCCATCTGCGGAGCAGAGGGTCACACAGGGACTGGAAGTCAGGCTAGGGTCAACCCGACATACCCCGTCTTGTCCCGTGCTGCCCTCGCTCACATTCCACCGTGACAGCCACATTTTTGGCGGCAGAGCCTCGAGCATTGGTGGCTTCGCAGCGGTACGTGCCCGCGTGCTCCCGGGCCACGTGCAGCAGGCCCTCGATGACTCGGGCCTCCCCGGAGCGCACACAGCTCACGTTGGGCGGCGGGACCCCGTGGGCCACACAGCTCAGTGAGGCCTCGGTTCCTTCCAGCCATGTAATACGTTCCGGGCAGCCCACGCTGTCCAGCGCTGGGGCGTCTGGAGGGGGGAGCGTTGGTGGGTTTGAGGTTTGGGGACCGGCCAGTTGTCCTTAGACCCTCTTTCCTGTCCCAGGGCGGCCACGAAGGGTTGGGCATGCTGCGCACTGCACAGGGACGCCGAACCAAAGGCATTTCGCGCAAACCCTGAGGGGCGCCTTTTCTAATTTCCACAAAGCGCCCACAGGACCCTCCTCCAGTCTTCAGCCTAAAAATTGTGAGATGGCTAGGAGTGCCCACCCTTCCAAGACTCCACCCAAACGCCACGCCCCGACCCCTTGGACACGCCTACTCCTTCCCCTCCATCCTTCCCTTATCTTCCCCTAATCCTGCTCACCAGACTCTTTTCCAAAATTTCGCCCAAAGGCACGCCTCAGGCCCTGCTCCCACTCTTCCCTGTAGGCTGGCCACCCCGAGCCCCTGAAATCCAGACAGAGATGCGCCCCGCGCACCCCCACTCACACTCCACCGTCAGCGTCACGTCCTGGACCGCCTCGCCCCGGGCATTGGCAGCGGTGCAGTGGTAAGTGCCGGCCAGCGCGCGAGTGACCGGACCCAGCAGGCCCAGCGCCAGCACAGCCCCGCCGTCGGGGCGCGCGCAGTGCACCGAGGGCGCGGGGTTCCCGCGGGCCTCGCAGCGCAGCGTCTGCTCTGGGCCCTCCGGCCAGGTCCAGCTCCTGGGACAGCCCGAGTCGTCTAGCCGGGGGGCGTCTGCGGGGCAGGGGCGTGGGATACAGAGATGCTAGACGTGGGCCGTGAGGAAAGGGCCCACTTCCGCGACACGGCCAGGGACCGGGCAGGTCCTTGGAGATCCCGAGGAGGGAGGCGCGAGGTTGAAGGCCAACTCACACAGGACGCGCAGCTCTGCGCTCTCGTTCTTGCTCAGCGTCTCCCCGTCCACCTCGAGGGTGGCGTCGCAGAAGAAGCTGCGCCCGTCGTCGTCCTCGGTGGCGTTTACGTGGAGCTGGGCGGGCTGCCCCGGGCCCGCGGCTGGAACTCCATCCAGCGTAACCAGGGCTTGGGTCCCCGCTGCGCAGGTTACTGTCACCATGTTCCCCTCGGCGGCGCTGGGCTCGCTCAGGGTCAGGAGCGGCGCGGGGAAGCCTGGGGGCGGGGCATCGGCCGGGAGTCCACTGACCACGCCCCTCCTGCGGGCCAAGGGTGCCCCTGACCTGCGCGAACCTCCCCGCGCTGCAGCCAAACCATGGGCACCGTGCCCCGCCTCCCCGGCTGCTCAGGCTCCGCCCCCTCTCGCCCCGCCCCCTTGAGGTGGTCAGGCCACATCCCTAGGGATCCTCGCGGGTTTGCGACCTTCCCCTTGGGGCGGCTCTGACTCCACCTCTCCAGCTATCCAGTCTCGGTCCTCCATCTGCTCGGCCCCTTCGGGATTCGGGCCCCGCCCGTTCCGGTACTAAGGTCCTGCCCCCTCTTTGCCCCGCCCCCTCTTTGCCCCGCCCCCACGTTCCTCTGGCTCCACCCCCGAGCCGCGGCGGTCCCCCCTCGCTCCCTCTTACTGTAGACAGTCACGTTCTCCCGGGTCTCGCGGCTCTCGCCCCCCAGGGTCACGCTGCAGACCAACTGCCTGGCGCCCTCCTGCTCTGCGCTCGCTACGGCTGTGGCAGTGGCCATGAGCGCGTCCCCTTCGAGGGTGACATCGGGACTCAACCTCTGGTCCCCCAGCGCCAGGTAGACCTCTGCCTCCGAGGCTGGAAACAGCCCATCCAGGGCGCAGCTCACCGGTCTTTCTGAGCCCACTTCCAAGAGCCGGGGGGCGGCGAGGCGCGGGGGTTCCGGAGACAGGGCTGGGGGTCAAAGGACAGAACTTTGACTTCTGTGTTGAACGCTCAATATGTACTAAGCGCTTTACAGGCACTATCTTATCGAATTATCCTCAAGGCGCAAAGAGGAAAACAACTTTCAGCTGGTGAGTGTTGAAGTAAGGCTTAGAATTCAGATTTCTCTGCCTCCAACTTAAACGCCAGCCCGACCCCACTTGGTCCCCTTCTTCTCTCCATACCCACTCACCGAAGGTTCGGAGCTCTCTGGATGCCGAGCTGTTTTCGAACAGCCCCAGGCCGTGCGGCCGCAGGTCCAGCTCCGCGCGGCACGAGAAATTGGCCCCATGGTCCTCCCTCCGCGCCAGCACGGTGGCCGTGAGCACCGCGCCCCGCGCTCGGGGTGGCTCCCCGGCGAAGCTGCGGCGGATCAGCTCCTGGGCACCCCGCAGCAGCGTCAATGTGAGGCTCCCACGAGGCCCGGCACCGGGCACCCTACAGCTCAGGGTGAAGTTCTCGCCCACAGGCTGCCAGGCAGGCAGCGGCACCAGCTCCACGCGATCCGGCCGCTCTGCAAGGGGGGAACTACCGCTCTTGGAAACGCGGGGGCTCAGCTGGACGTGGCTTGGAGCCCAGGGGCCAAGAGGGGAGGGCATGGGGATCCAGACAGCGGAGCTTGAAGGGGAGGACCCCGTGACCCAGGGGGCGGGGCCTGGAAGAGAGGGAAAGTAGTGGAGTACGAGCGTGGCCACTGGGAACTCACGAAAAGTGCGAATGAGCCCACGCGCCTGCAGCGTGCGTCGCGCGCAGCGGAAGAAGCAGACGGGCTGAGTCTCCGGCTCGCGGATGTCCACCAGCTGCCGCGCCAGCCAACGCAAACCCCTCTGGGTCCCATTCCGGCGCAGAGAGGTCTCCAAGCCACCGCGCTCGGGCCGTGGGCAGTTGGTGCTGCAATTCAGCCACAGCGATCCCCCGCGCTCCACGAGCGCCACGCGGGGCTGCAGGTCCGCCCAGAAAGGCTCTTGCGCGACCGCTGCCCGGGGAAACGCGGGCTCAGCCTGCGGAGCCACCTCCCTGGCATCTTAGCGCCCCCATGCCAAGTCAGGCATTCCCGGGGAATGAGCAGAGGTCGCAGCCGGGGAAGAACTCAGGAGTCCCGCGTCCTGCCCAGGCCTCAGGTTTGGAGGTGAGCTCCCACGGTCCAAACCCCGAGGGTGTCTCTGGGACATGACAGCGGAGAGCCCTGGTCTCCAAGGTGCCCATGGAGTGATGGGAAAGCATGGGGGGAGGGGGAGATGAGAGGAAAGATGGGGTCTTGGACGCAAACAGCAACGCTGGGAGGAGGGGACCTCGAGTGGGGGAAGGGAAACGAACTGGCTGGCTCTTAGGGTTCTCGCCGGGAGAGGAGGAGACCGAGGTTGAGGTGAGGGCAAAGGGGAGATCAGGCTGAGTCAAAGAGAAGTGCAGACCCCAAACCCGGGTGAAGAACAGGGAAAGAGGACGCGGGGCTGGGCTCATGGAAGGAACCGCGGGAACAGCGGAGGGACTCGGTTGCCAGGGCTCGGGGTGGAGCGGGAACAGCGCCTCTGAGTCACGACAGGTGGGGAGACCGGGTCTTCGCGGACCGCGAGTGGGGAAGATGCCAGTCCGTGGGCTACGGTGCATAGCAGAGCGTGAGGGGTACCCCGGAAAGGGGCAAGGGAGACATGGGGTCTCCAGGGCGCAAGGTTGGGTGCAGAAGAGCACCCAGGATCTCGAAGAGGGTAGGGTAGAGACCTAGGCGAGCGAGGAGGCGGGAAACTGGGTCTCCAGTGTGCGTTGGGGGAAAAAGGATCGAGGAGAACGCCCGGAGCTCAAGGTGGGATCAGAAGCGTGGGAACGAGGCGAGGGCGGAACCGGGAGGGGCTTGCGGCCGCCTCTCTGGTCCGGGAACTCCGCCCCCGCCCTGTCCACCTTGAGCAGGGACAGGCTCTTACCTGAGAGGCCGAGGAGCCCCAGGCCCAGGGCAGCGCAGAGGCCGAGCAGCGCCCGGCGAAGCCCCGGCGAGGGCCCTGGCATCGCCGCCGCGGGGGAAGCGCAGGAGGCGAGGGGAGCGCGAGCGCAGAGCTGGGCTAGAGGACGGCGCGGCGCGGCGCGGCGGGTGGGGTGTGGAGGAGGCAGAGTTGCGCTCGGGGATTGGTTTAACGTTGGTAACTTGGTTTCCAAGGAGGGGGCGGCGGCAGAGGCGGCGGGGGGGCGGGAGGGCGAGCGTGCGCCAGGCTCTCGGCCTTGGTGAAGGCGTGCTGGCAGGAGCGAGCGACCCCCGGGGTCTACGTGGAGGCCGGCCCCGTCGCCCGGAGCCTTCTGGGGGCGGACGCGCGCTCCCGCGTCATCCTCGGCGGCGGCGCGGAGGTCGGGGGATGCTGGGTTGCCCTTCCGAAACCCCCACCCCACCCCTAGCTTAGATGCTATGATAATGAGCCGGACTCCGAGCTCCGCCCCCAGACTTTGCCCCTCCCACCAGCGCCCCTTGGGGCGGGGATTGATTTGGGGGCTAGGAGAGATTTGGGAAGCGCAAGATGGGGAAGGCACAGTTCCAGGGGAGGGTGTGAGGATGCCTCGCTCGCTGATCCCTCCCCTTTTAACCCAAGGGAGCTGAGGGTACAGCCACGCCCCTAGTCCCCCCTCCGGCTCCGCCCCCGCACGCGACAGAGGGGGCGGGGACGAAAGTGCCAGCGACTCGGGGACACGTGTGCGTGCGCGCAGCGTTCGCGGGCGTCTAAATTAGGGTCCGCTCGGCTCCGGGTCTGTATCTACCCAGCGTGCAGCGGGCACGTGTCTACGCGGCGTGTGTGAGCGCTAGCCGCCGAAGAGCGCCCCGAATCCGCTTTCTGCGCGGCGGGCGGCGTCCTGGACCGCGTGGGCCCTGCCAGGCATCCAGTGCAGGCCCGGATTCTATGTCCACGCGAGACCAAGAGACCAACTGTGACACTTTCGACCCCGCAGCCAGGCCCCAAGCTTTGATACCCACACTCCCCCCCCACGTGCCCACCAGGCCCGGTGACTATCAGGACGTTGCCAGGACACGAGTCTGTGACACCCCACGTGCACTGTCTCATTGCTCCTTCCCCAGAGTCACCACAAGGGTACCTTTTCTGCGTATCCACGTCCCTCAGTATGTCCATGTGACCCCGCCCATTTGTGCTCTTACTCCCAACGCTGATGGTGAACCCTGGGGATCAGTGGTCGCCCCACCCCAGTCCTCCAGGAAAGTGCAGGATCTAAAGTGGCCGGGGGGATGGGAAAGGAAACTTAACATCCAATCAGAGCCACTGCGTGGTAGCGGCGGAGCCAATCAGGAAAAGCCATACGAGAACCAGCCCTCCCACAGGCCGAAGCCCTCCGGGGCCCATTCTTTGCCCATCTGGGCCGCACCGATAATGCCCGCAGGAGAGTTTTTTACTACACCGGCTGGGAATGCAGAGGAATTGGGGCTCCGGGGACCAGAGTGAGGAAATCACAGGTGCCCTCAGGGAGACAAAGAACTTGGAGAAAGGGATTGAGGCCAGGCCACAAAAGAAGACCAGTTCCTTGGAGGAGATGCGCTAATGGGGCATCTTTAGACCGCGGGACAGAGGCTGGCTGAGAAAGGCTTTATTGATCCAAGCAGGGTTCCCCAAATTGTTTCAGATTCTTTTTTCCCCAGCCGGCCTGGACGACCCCCTCTACTCCCGGGACTGCATCGATTGGCACTTTCGCAGGTAGGCGACCCCCACGACGAGAAGGATCCCCACAAGGGCTGCGATGGAGGTGGAGGCCAAGGCTGTGGACGTGAGGCTCCAAGCTAGGGACAGGAGGTGAGAATTAGGAAGGGAGCACATGGAGGTGTGACAACTCGCATGGAGCTCATGCTTGGCCCGCGCACCCTCCTGGGGTCATAACCCATCCCCAGCCCTCCTCAAGTCCCCAGGATTACAAGGGTGCCTCACCGCGAACTGGCAGCGTAATGGGTGCCGAGCTGCTGCGGACCACTAGGCCGTCGAGATTGAGGCGCGCGTGGCACGTCACGGGCTGCCAGAGGTCGTGGGGCCTGGCTCGAAACGCGTGAGTCAGCGTCACATTGGCCGGATCCAAGCCCTTGAAGCGCTCCAGGCTCTCGGAGTAGATGACCTGGCCGCCGCGCCTCAGAGTCACCACCAGGAAGCCCACGGGGAACACGTGTGTCACGTGGCAGCGCAGAGTGTACTCGCTGCCCGCGAGGACCGGAGGCTCCAGGATCACGCTGCCCGGCTCTTCTAAAGCGAGAGGGGGCCGCTGAGCAAGGTCCGCGGGCGCCCCCTAGCGCGACACTGTCAACTACCCCTCTCTGGCCCCCTCCCCTCTCCCCAGCCCGGCCTGAGCCCGGCCCTCACTGTAGGCGTTAATCCTGGCTGTGGCCCTCCGCGTCTCTCCTGCGCAGGTGACGAGGCAGAGCACGTCGGAGCTCCAGGCCCTCACGTCCAGCAGCTGGTAGGACACCCAGCCTGTCCCATTGAGCGTCTGGCCCCGCCGCAGCTGGGTGCGCAGGCTGGAACCATCCGGCAGGGGGCAGCTGCTGCTGCAGTTGAGCCACACCGAGCTCCCGGGGCGCACGGCCGCGAACTCGGGGCTTATGCGTACCCAGAAGGGCGCCGGAGAGCTGCCCCCGGGGCCTTGCGCCCGCGCAGCCCGCCGCCTCCGCGCGCTCCCGCCTCCCGGGTAGGCGGCTGCCAGCAAGACCAGCAGCGAGAGGGGGAACAGAGACCCCATGGCAAAGAGCCCACACTGAGGGGCCCCGCGCCAGGGAGCCAAGGCTGGCTCTGAAGATAAGAAGGCCCGCAGCCCCGCCTCCTCGGCCCCACCCAGAGAGGGCGCCAGAGGCCCCTGGAAGACCCAAAAGCCCTTCAATATATACACACCCCTCCCTCGGCTCAAAAATGAAATTTCTGACCCCATTATAAACCAACTGTCATTTTAATTTTCACCAGAGTCTCAAACGGTCCTAACAAGCCCCAGACTTGGATTCGAGCCTCTGGGATGGGCCTTGAACTGGCAGGCTTTTCTTGGCGGCGGAAGTGAGAGGACAGATCTGTGGCTCCCACTGGACATGACAGCCCCCCCAACTCACAGGAGGCTGGGCCAAGGAAAAAGCTTTATTAGCATAGGGAGAGGCTTCCGGAGCTGCCCCGCCAAGTCCTCTCCTCCACACGGCCTGCAGGGAGGGCCCTCATCGCCGCAGGAATTTGGAGCTCCCGGAGCGTCTGTTCTTGTACTTCTCTGAGATGGAGACGGGTAGGAAAAGGCAGGAGCACACAGGGGTCGGGCATAGTTTCATGGGACTCGTGGCTTAGCTGCCAAGGAGTGGGCATGCCACCAAGTCCTCGTGAGCACTAGCAGAGATGTGTATGGGCGGATAGGGGGCTAACAGGTCAGCACCAGTGCTAGGGGAGTAAGGGCTCAGTGGGTCATCCCTGGGCATGTCACCAGCTAAATCATGTGGCCATTGATAGTCCCCTTCCAGGGGAAATCGGCTTGGCCAATGAAGTGGGGAATTCCAGCCCCACTTGATCTGTGGCCAGGGACTCTTGTGCAGTGCACGGCCAGTACAACTGTACCTGGTGACCTTGAATGAGATTAGACTGAGAACTTCCCAAGGGCTGGAACCTATGTTCATCCTGTTGACCATCCTAGCCCGCATAAAAGGCACTCAATAAATAGCTAGTAAAAGAACGAATGAATAAATATATCATCAAGAGTTGGGGACAGTCAGTGGACAGCAGCGCCAGAGCTGGCATCTGGCAGAAGAAGGGTGGGGATCTGTGTTTCAATGCTGCGTGTCTGCGCAGGGCCACTTCTTCATTAGGACTGTAGGGCCTCAGTGCACACAGTAGTGGTCAGTTTCAGTGGCTCCCAGGTGGGCGTCCCCACGTCGGAGGTATGTGTCTCTGTCGCTGCCCCTCCGGCCAGGTAGACTTTGCCATTCCTCACAGTCAAGCCTCCTTGTGGCTCAGTCTTGTGACTGCAGGTCAGGTGTGAGGCCTGGGGGTCTTGGTGTACAGGCGCCACGACCCCAAATGCTGTCTATATCCTGACTGAGGCCTCTCTCTTGCCCTCTGGCGTCCTGGGAGGGTGGGTGCAGCGGAATGGCGCACGTCCACCATTGTTCGATGTGGCACCACTGCCACGGTGTGGGGGCTGAGGAGGAGGCCCCATCCGGGCACAGGCTCAGGGCGGTGTGGCTGGTGTGTTCAGTTTCAGGGCGGCCGCCTCCGCGGCCTTCTGTAGCCTGTACTTTTGGATCTTCCGCTGGCGGTTGTAGAGGTAAGCGGCTGTGCCCAGAGTGCCCAAGACGCCAGCAACTGTGACCAGAATGATGATGGCCAGCTTATTCTCGTGGTCTGTGGGGAGGACACAGAGGGCGGGGAGGGGTGAGCTGGGCTCAGGGCCCCTGCCCCTGCCCCTGCCCGGCCCCGAACACTGGCACACTTACAGATCACGATCACGACCACGTCCCGGGTGACCTCCCCTTGAGAGCTCTTCGCCTGACACTTGTAGGTGCCCGCAATCTCCCGTTTGACAGGCTTCAGGTCCCCGATGGGCAGCTGAGCCCCATCCCATTTCCGGGGACAGTTCAGCTCGGGGGTCGGGTTCCCAGAGGCCTTGCACCTCAGGGTCTGCGTCGAGCCTTCCTGCCATGTCCAGTTGCCCAGGCAATCCTTCTTGTCTAGTTTGGGGCCGTCTGGAGAAACACAGCAAGATGAGGGAAGGGCTCGGGGACCCGGGCACCCCTGGCCATCTAGGACTGGAGGACGTAGGGAGGAGTCTGGGGAGGGGGTCACCGGGGCGGGGGCAGGGTGGGCCTCGGAGGCCAGGAGCTCATGAGGTCTTAGGGGTCCAGCGGCCCCACTCACACAGGACACGGAGCTGCCGCGTCCGGGTCTTGCGTAGCACCTGCCCGGCCACCTCCAGGTCAGCGGAGCAGGAGAAGACGCGCTCGTCGTCCTCGGAGCTGGCGTTGAGAAGGACTCGGGCCCTCGAGGCGGGCTTCCCCGCTGCGGCCCCGCTCAGCGTCACCACGGCTCCAGCATGGGCCTCGCACTCCACGGTCACCACGGTCCCCTCCGAGACCTCGGGCTGGCTCAGCGTCAGGTTGGGAGCCGGGAAGCCTGGGGGCGGGGCATACAGTGAGCCCCGCCCCCGGCGTCGGCCCCGCCCCCCGAAGCCCCACCCCTGCCTCCACTTACTGTAGAAGGTCACTTTCTCCCGCGTCGTCCGGGTCTGGTCTCCCAGCATCACCTCACACACCAGCTTCTGGGGGCCCTGCTCCTCCGCGTGCGCCTTCACCAAGGCCGTGGCCGAGAAGGAGTCCCCCTTGTATGTGACCGTGGGCTGCAGCCTGCGGTCCCCCAGTCCCAGGTGGACCTCGGCCTCCGAGGCGGGGAAGAGCCCGTCCATGGTGCATTCCACCAGCTGCTCTCTCTCCACTTCCGCGACCCGAAGGTCAGAAAGGCGCGGGTTTGTCTCTGGCAGGACTGGCGAGAGAGGGTGAGTGTGAACGCAGAAGGGACCCACATCCTGAAGCCCTTTCCCGGGGCATTTTCATTCCCCCGCCTGCAGCATCCTCTTCCCGGGAGACTCTGCGGCCTGGGTCACCCCCATCCCCACCACCCCAGTGGCCAGGAACGTGCTCTTCCCAGAAGCCTTGGCAATCTAGGTCACCACCTTCTCAGTCCCCCCACGGCCAGGGGCCCTCCTTCCCAAGAACCCTGTCCCCCCCGAGGGAACACCCCCTGAGCCCATCCTTCCTGGGGTTCCCCAATGCCTCACCGAAGGTTCGGAGCTGCCTGGGGGCCGAGCTGTTCTGGAACAGTCCCAGCCCTTGGGGCCGCAGGTCCAGTTCGGTGCGGCACGAGAAATTGGCGCCGTGGTCCTCTCTGCGGGCCAGCACGGTGGCGTTGACCTGGGTGGCCTTCCCCACGGCCGGCTGCCGGCTCAGCTCCTCCTCCCCGCGGAGCAGCACCACCGTGAGGCTGGCGCGGGGCGCCCCGCCCACCACCTGGCAGCTCAGCGTGAGGTTCTCGCCCACGGGCTGCCAGCGGGGCAGGGGGGCCAGCTCCACGAGACTGGGGGTCCCTGGGGGACAGGAGGGAGGAGTGTCCTGTGAGCTGGGCAGGCCACCCGCCAGCAGGGGGCGCTGGGGCGCTGCCCACACCTGTCCCGGGAGTCTCACCAGGCTGTCCCCAAAATACACCCCAAACCACGTAAGCCAGAAAGGAATGTTAAGAACTTCAGGGAAAACCCGTAAGAAGCCCCCAAGTGGTTGTGAAGGGCGCGAAACAATTCTTTTTTCACTGTAGCATCTAAAAGTGGAAACCAGCTTCCAAGTCTGTCACCACCAGGTGTCGGGTCAAATACTTGCAGTCAATTTCAGCTGCCCAGTCCACTCGAGATGGTTTTTAAAAGACCCCTGCTCCCCCTTTGCCTATCTTGGAATTATTTTTCTCCAAAGCATCTCTCCCCCCTGACATACCAGATCACCTTCTCTATTCCCCCCATGTCAGCCCCCAAGGGCACGGATCTTTGCTTTATCCCCTCTTCTGTTGCTGGCCAACAGTAGGCGCTCTATATTTGTCCAAAGAATAAGGTTGGGCCACCCACACTGATTCGAGGCCTTTCGGGCGCTCACTTTTACTGGAAAGAAGTTCCCCCAAGTGTTGTGTGATCTTCTGAATTGTCACATTTGTAAGAACAGCCCACGGACGCTCAAAATGAAACTCTGAATATCCCCTGATCACACAACACGCCGGCTCGGTTTTCGCAGGCCGGGGTCTCCATGCTGCACGCGGCGACAGAATTCCAAGCCTGGATCGCCAGCGAAGATGGACAGCCGAGCCCCGGGGCACTGGGGCTCAGCCCTGAGACCCCGGGGGCTCCCCAGGGAGGGGTCTTAAGGACGCCCACTTCCTATCCCCTTCTCCAGAGGCCCTGAAATGTGACTCAGCAATGCTGCTCAGGTGTCAGGGACCTCGGCTCGAGTCCTAGCTTTGTGGCTGAGGGACTTGCCTCTGGAGCAGTCCCAGCCCTCGGAGCCTGGGAAATGGAACCTCAGTTTCTTAAGCTGTAAAATGGGGCTATTGGAGGTAGAACTATTATTAAGCCATTTAAGAGGTTGAGCGAGTGATGGGAAAAGGGCATGAGGTTTCTCTTCAGGGTGATGAGAATGTTCTAAAATTAGAAGTGTGGTGATGGTTGGACAACTCTAGAAATGCACCACAATTCACTGTGGACAGAGCTGTTAAAAAAAAGAAAAGGCCAAGAAACCCCACAGCCCTCCAGCTTTTACCTCTAACCAGCCGCTGCAAACCCCAGCGTGCAGGGTTGGAGGCCCCTCCACCCTCAACCCCAAATGGAACTCACATCTCCGAGGCCAGCTCCTTGCCCCGAAGGCCGGACTCGGGAGGAGTTCTGTTTCGCCTGTACGGCTTCTGTATCTCCCCACCTTTGGTCCCTTGCCAAATCCTGGTCACTCCACTCTGCAAATATTTGTCTCCCTTCCTGGCCATGACCACTGCCCACGACATGTGGCCTGGACAAGGCCCACGGCCAACTGCTCTCTGGCTTCCTGTAAGCCCGGCCTTCTGCTCTCAGGATCCCCGGCTTGCTCACACACCCTCCATGGCTCCCTATCACGCTGAGGAGAAGGCCTCAGCTCCTCGCTCTGGCACTGAAGTCCCTGCCAACCTCAGCAGCATGCTTCGGCACTCCAAACCTTTGCCCAGGCTGTTCCCTCTGCCAGGATGCCTATCTTCCAACTCCTATGGACCCTTCAAGGCCCAGTCAGGGGTCACCTCCTGCAGGAATTACGACTCTAACCTTTCTAGAGAAAGCTTAGCCACCTGGGGATGCTCTCTCATCGTCACACTGGGGGTGGGGCGGGACCAAGCTAGAGTCCCTCCTAGGGGACCCCGCTTGCAGCTGTGTGCCAGCCATCTGCTCTGTTTCACAGAGACAGAAACTGAGCAAAGTCCAGCGCCCAGAGTCACAGAGGCAGAAATGTGGCAGAGCCATTCAAACCTGGAGACCTGGGCTCTTAATAATCAGGCTGAGGTGCGGAAGGTCCTTCCAGAAGGTTTCCCCGGGGCTTTCAGAGGCCACCGGGAATGTTTGGGGACTTCCCTCACCTGGCCAGCATCTGCTCCAACATCCTCCCAATCAGAAGCAAAGCGGCTATTTGCTCAAAAGCTTCCTTGGCCCAGGAACCGTGAAGGAGGGAAGTCCTTCATGCCGTACTGCATCATTGTACCCAGCCGAGGTCTCATGGGAAAGGCGATGGAGAGCCACGTCCCCCACAGTCCCCCCCAGTAAAGGCCACGCTGAGACTGGAACCCAAGGCTGGCTGATCCTAAAGCCAGTTAGCCAGGTCTCTTGGTTTCTCTCTTCCCTGACTGTTGTCATTTGCATTTCATTGATTATTTCTTGCCTATGGTTAGGGCAACTCATTCTCACGGTTCACACTGCCCAAAGTTAAAGAAAAGGCCTAGAGAAAAAAATCACCCCCTGACCTCTCCCAGAGCCCCTAGCTTCTCTCCTCACAGCCAACTAATATTACCATTTCTTGCATTTCCTTCCAGGGCTCTTTTGCATAAACACAGCCTCCCTCAGGCCGCCCCCAGTGCTCCCTAACACTGAGGATTGCATGCCACTCATTCTGGGCATACCTTACTCATTTTTTTTTTTTTTTTTTGGTGAGGAAGATTAGCCCTGAGCTAACACCTGTTGCCAATCCTCCTCTTTTTGCTGAGGAAGATTGGCCCTGGGCTAACATCCGTAACATCCTCCTCTACTTTATGTGGGACGCCGCCACAGCATGGCTTGATAAGCGGTGTGTAGGTCCGAGCCTGGGATCTGAACCTGCGAAGCCCAGGCCGCCGAAGCAGAGCGCTCGAACTTAACTGCTATGCCGTGGGGCTAATCCCTACCTTACTTCTTTTGAACTTGTCTTCTGATTGTTGCCAATATGTAAAAAATGCCATCTCAGGGCTAGTTTTTAATTTGCATCTTTTGTGTGTGTGTGTGTGTGTGTGTGAGGAAGATCAGCCCTGAGCTAACATCCATGCCAATCCTCCTCTTTTTTGCTGAGGAAGACCGGCCCTGGGCTAACATCCGTGTCCACCTTCCTCTACTTTATCTGGGACGCCGCCACAGCACTGCTTGACAAGCGGTGCGTCGGTCCGTGCCTGGGATCCAAACCCATGAACCCCGGGCTGCTGAAGCAGAGCACGAGCACTTAACCGCTGCGCTACCGGGCTGGCCCCTGCATCTTCTTTTTCAAGAGTTCAATCTAGGACCTTGTCACATGTTGAAAGAGTGAGAAGCCTAGAGAGCCAGCCTTCTGGAAGGTACTGAATCCCTGCGGACACTCTAAGGGCACCCAAGGAAGTTCATGGAGGGGTTTCAAATGACTGTGAGACTTTCTGAAGGGGTCCCCAACCGCCCTGAAGGTGAAGTGAGAGCCTCCCCGGCCCTAGCCCCTGCCTCCCCCGCCCAGTCTGCCTCGTCCAGGCCCCTGAGCCCAGCCACTCACCGTACACGGTGAGGTTCATTGAATCTGATGTCTGGTTATGACAGTTTGCGAAGCATATTGGAGAGCTGTCCTCTTGCACATTGCTCAGTCGGAAGGTCTTCCAGTTGTGCCCGGACGCCACTTCCGTCTTATTCAGGTTAGTCTCCAGGCCCACGTTGGAACAGGGGGCGCTGCAGTTCACCTCCACGGAGCCTCCTCGGGGTATGATGGCTTCTCGGGGGTGCACTGATACTTGGGCCTCCCCAAGCCCTGGAACAAAAATGTGAGGAGAGGCCAGGCATTATAAACTGGGTTCATCAACATGACTGTGGACCCAGCCTCGAACAAGACGCAAGTCTCCGCCCTCAGCGTGGGAGACAGAAAAATTCATGAGCCAACGAGTTAATTAATAACTGATGTTAGTAAGAGCTTTGATAAAAACAAAACAAGGTGGTAGAACAGACAGTGCCTTCGTGACAGGGTGATGGGCTAGCAGAATCTGAACGATGAGAAGGGGCGGGCCATCCCGAGAGAAAGGAAATGAATTCCAGGCAGAAGGAGCAAGTGCAAAGGTCCTGAGGCAGGGTGGCCGGGGCAGCGTGAGTGAGGGGGAAGAGTTAGGGGAAGAGAGGTCAGGAAGATTGTGAGGGCAGTGGAAGCCATGCCAAGGATGTGTTTGTTCTTCATTCTTAGAGCCATGGGGAGCCATGGAGGAGTTTAGCAGAGGAGGGACATGAAATCAATATCCTTCTCCCTCCCAAGAGGTCAGGTGGAGGAAGCTAGCCCTCCGGGGATAGAGGGGTTCCAATCAGGTTGGCTTCTCCCTCCCTTGGACAAGTGGTCTCCCCTCTCTGGGCCTCAATTTCCCCATCTGTAAGGTGGGTGAATAAAGTCATCCCACCCCTGCTAATGCAAGTAACTCCTAGCACAGGGCAGGTAGCGAGTGGCTGCAGGTAAGAGGGAGGGGGATTGCTCCCTCGGACCCTGGCGCCTCCACAGCTGGAAAAAAGTCTGTCTGAGCCTATCCCTCCACCCCTTCCAAAGATTCCTGGCCTCAGTTTGGGTTATTCTATCTGCGGGGAAAGCGTGGGAAGACAGCAGCTCCGGGAATTCTCCAGGGGTGATTCTGGATCATTCCCATTTCACAGAGGGACATGGTGATGTCTGGGGAGGCGAGGTTGCTCGGCTAGAAAGCAGCAGGACCCAGGCTGGAGTCGGGATAAGAACGCTTTGTGGAGCTGGTAACCATGGTGTCCATCCTCCACTCGCCGGCTTCCCAGCACTGCCACCATTTGCCACCGCTGTCTCCCTTCTCCCCTCCTTCCGGGCTGGAGCTGGCGGAGGGGTGCTGGGGCGTCCGACTTCAGCCTCCGGAATTCCCCTGAGCAGAAGCAGCCCTGGACTTCCCCAGGCGCAGGGATGAGGAACAGAATGTACATGTGTGTGTTGGAGGGGGGGGGTCCCCAGCCTACTCGGCTGGGCGTGGGGCCATTTCTCCAGACCATCTGGGGCCAGCCGCCGAGCTGGGCCAGCGCACAAACCCTGGGAGGTGGCCGCTATTCTCTTCCCCATTTTCCAGCTGAGAAATTAAGGCTCCTCCGGGAGGCGCAGGCCACACATCGAGGTGATCCAGGGGGCCTGGATTCGAACCCATGGCTCTTGACTTTCAATCAGTGCCACTAGCCCCAACTTCCCAAAAAGAGCTCCTTGAGGACGCAGGGCCTTATGCCCAGCCGGCCGGGCGCCGGTCCTGCCGCTGCGCCCAGGGCGCACTCCGGGCCCCGGGAGCGGCCCCGACGGCAGCGCCATCCCCGACTCACCTGGGAGCAGAGCCCCGAGCAGGGCCAGGAGCGCGGGCAGCGCGGGCGCGCATCGGGCGGCGCCGGGGGCCATAGCGAGCGCACAGACGGACACGGGTGCGCAGCGGTGCGCAGACTGGGGCACAGAAGAGGGGCGGGTCCTTTTATAGCGACTGCCACGGGGGGCCAAGGGGCGGCGCTGCCTTCCCGGAAACCTCGCGCCTTCCCCTCCGGAACGAGGGCTCCGGCATTTCCGGACTGAAAGAGTGCCCGACCCGAGCCGGGTCAACCCCTTCGCTGGCCGCTCATGCGCTGGGATTTCCGAGGAAAGCAATGTGAGCCCTGGAGGGGACTGCGCCCTGGGCGTCCTGTCCCCGGGCCGGGCTGACCTTGATTCTGCGATTACACTGCTCTAAGCGCTTTATTGAATATGCCAGCCAGGCGGGACAGTAGGGACTGTTACTGTGCTCATTTCACAGAGCGGTAAACTGAGGCTCCGCGCTGCAGGGGATTCGAACTCAAGTCTGACTCCCCAGCGCATGCAGCCCTCTTTAACGGAGGGGGCGGTCCCTGGCTTGGTGGGGGGCCCAGGCATGCTCTCGGGGCGCCCTCCGTCTAGGGTGCCCCTCCCCCAAAGGGCATGTCCCCGGCCAGCTGACACCTAGATTTCCCGAGAAGCGGCCCCTGCAGGCCTAAGCGCCTCGAGGACGCCTGGCGTCGTCACATCTGAGGACCTGCGTCCCCCGCATCGACGGGCACTCCACCCCCGCTGCCTCGCTTCCCCTTTCGGCCTGGCCGCGGGGGCATCTTTACAGCTTCCAGAAAAAAGGAAGGAAGCCACGTGGCCTGAGACGCCGAGCGCCTCCGCTGCTGTTCTCAGGCTCCGCGGGAAAACTGAGGCAGCCAAGCTCGATGGGGGAGGGGAGGGGGGCGCGCGAAGCCGTGCCTTCCGCAGGGAAACTGAGGCAGCTCCTAGGCCCTGAAGTGGGGCGGGGAGAGGGAGCGCTCAAACTCCTGTTCGAAACTCGACCCCCGGGCGCCAGCACTAAATAGGTGGGGGTTTGCTTGGGGCAGTTGCACTAGGGCATCGGGGGCGGGGGGCGGGGGGGCCCGCGCGGCATCCATGGGCCGCCCCCACGTCCCACCCCAGGCCACGGCCTGCGCACGTGGCCCCAAGACTCGGGATCCACCACTGCCAGGCTGGGACCGTGGGCTCTCCGTGCGCCGTCATGCCGCCTAAGGCTTCCTGTTGTGGGGCACGCGGCGCGTCGCCATGGAGACCGCGGAGGTGCCAGGGAGGTCGCGCAGCAGAAGGGGAAGGATGGGGGGCCCCGGGGAACCCTTGAGCCCTTCCTCCCGGGGATGGGGCTGCGAGTCACTTGTCATCCAGCCTCCAGCCCCGATCGTTCCTAAGGAATTTCCACGGGGATCTTTCTTCTTGGGGGGTGGAGGGTGCTGAATTCCGGCCTGGAATTGCCTGGGCAAAGGCGCAGGGTGGAGATCGGGGATGTCCCTGCGCCTCGGAGGGTCCGGGGAAGTCCTGCACGGTGGTGCTGGGCGGCGGGGGTGTTATTTTCCGGTGGATTTTTCTCAGGGCCCCACCACCGGGTCCGTTGGCCTCGGCCCGAAGTGCGCGGGCGGCGAGCTCCCCCGCGCGGCCAGATAGGGCGTCGTTCTTCCTTCTCTCTCTCTCTCTCTCTCTCTCTCTGTCTCTGTCTCTGTCTCTCTCAACGGTCTGTGCGGTGTTTATTGAGCGCTCACTGTGTGCCAGGCGTCTTTCCAGGTGCTGGGGACACAGCAATGGACAGAACTGACGAAAATATCTGCCCTCTTGCAGAGATCGTCTTCGTGGGGGCGACAGTCAAGAAACAAAACTAAAATAGAGTGTTAGCTCCTGAGCGGTACTGAGGAGAAAAATAAAGCAGGGCAGAGGATAGGCAATGTGAGAGTTGATGAACTTTTAAAGAGAGTATTCTGGGAAAGACTGAGAAGGTGACATTTGAGCCAAGTTCAGAGGGAGGTGAGGAGGGAGGGAGTGTACCAGGGAGGGCACTGAATGTGCAAAGGCCCTGAGGTAGGAACTGCCTTAGGAACAACCAGGAGGCCGGTGTGGCTGGAGTGCAGCAGAAAGGGAGAGAGCTGGAGGAGAGGATGGCAGGGAGGGGAGGGGCAGAGCATGCTGGTGCTTGTCTGCCTGCGGGGAAAGGGGGGCACTTGGGCTTTGCTCTGAGTGAAGTGGGAGCCACGGAAGGCTCTGAGCAGAGGAGGGGCCTGCCCTGACTCAGGTGTTTACAGGCGCCCTCCTGACTGCAGGAGCTACAGTCAGGGGACGGGGAGGACAGGGTGGAAGCGAGGAGACCAGAGAGGAGGTGACTGCTTTGCTGCAGGTGGGCAGTGATGGGGCCTGGACTGGCCAGCGACATTGGAAAAGTGGCCGAATTTGGCATCCGTTTTGGCAGCGGGGCCAACTGGGTTTGCCGAGACAGGGGTGCAGAGCAGAGTCAAGGTGAACTCCTTGGTCCTGGCCGGAGCCACTGGGAGGATGGAGGGCCGTTTCCAGAGCTGAGGATGGGGTGGTGATGAGGGACAGGTTGGCCGGAGGAGCATCCTCCAGGCTCCCTTCCACTCCCTCTGTGCTTCCTCCAGGAAAAGGGAAGCTGATACTCCCCTGCCCTCTGCTGCTGCCGCCAGGAAGGGCCGGGCTTCCTCCAGGGTGCCAGGCAGTCTTGGGCAGCCCAAGGAACAGGCCCTCTGCAGACCAGAGACCTGTGGACCAGGGCGGAAGTATCCACACCCCACTCCATGGCGTTACGCCTGCTCTCCCCTCCCTCTGCGCTCTGGCGTGGCCACCTTGCAGTTCCCTCAGCCTGAAATGCTCTTCCCCTCATCCCGACAGGGCCGGCCCTCCTTTCTTGTGGCCTGAGCCTCCTCCTAAAAGTTTTCCTGGACGCCCCCCACCCGCCACTTCCATCCTGGGCCACACCCCGCTGGCTCTCTCACTTGCCCTAATGGTTACATTACTGAAACGTCATTCCCTTGCTGAAATTCTTTTGACTGGCTTGACTGTCTGTGACCTCCCTTTCTGTGAGCTCCGGGAGGGCAGGGACCCCGTCCACCCCAGCACCTGCATCAGTGTCTGGTCCTTAGAGGCGGGAGATCAATCCACATTTGGTGACTAAATGAACGTCTCTTGTCTCTGAGCATTCTGCACATGCTGTTCCTCCAGCCCAGAATCCTCTTCCCCTCGCTTTTACAAAAGGTTCCCGGAGCTTTTCATCCACAAGGTTGTAACAGGGTGGGGAGCACAAACTTCGAGCAGAGGGGGGTGCGAATCCAGGCTCTGGGACTTACCAGCTATTTTAGTTTAGCTTCTCCCCGGAAGCAGGCTCTAAGACAAGATTTGGCACGCAGGTGGTAGATCTGGGAGGTGATTCCAGGAAACACCTGGTGCCAGGAAAGGGGAGCATTAGTGGATTTCCCCTTTGGGGGTAAGTGGGGTTCGGTCTTTCTGGAGAACTCTTAGAGATGGGTAGATTCCACACCACTTCTCTCCCTCACTGGGTGAAGCCTGCTCCAGGAACGTTAACTCCCCAATACTTCATATATATACATACATATATATTTAAAAACTTTTTACTCACTATGCTGTACATTACATCCCCAGAACTTATTTACCTTATAACTGGAAGTTTGTACCTTTGGACCCCCTTCAGCCATCTCCCCACCCCCCACCTCTGGCAACCACCAATCTGTTCTCTGCATCTATAATTTCAGTGTTTACAAATTCCACACACGAGTGAGATCATACGGTATTTGTCTTTCTCCGTCTGACTGGTTTCACTTACCATAGTGCCCTCAAGGTCCATCCATGTTGTCGCAAGTGGCAGGATTTCCTTCTTTATTGTGGTGAATATATTCCATTGTCTAAATACACCACATCTTCTGTTTCCATTCATCCACTGATGGACACTTAGGTTGTTTCCAGATCTTGGCCGTTGTAAAGAATGTTGCAATGTCAACTATATCTCAATTTATAGAAGAGAATGTTGCAGGGCCGGCCCGGTGTCCTCATGGGTAA